TTCTCACCATACACCCCCCTCAGTGTTTCCAGTGAAGGGACCTGGTACAATCTGTTTAGAAGGCATGGTCTTTCATGGCATAAGCTGACATGAGAAGCTGGTGTCTGTGGGAGAATCTAATTATTGTGCAAGTATGCACACATATCTGCATGTGTGCATGCATGGTATTTGCCTGTGTAACTACATGTGTGTAATTTATTGTGCATGTTTGTATATGTCTGTATGCCTGTGCATTTTTTGTTTACTTTTGTTTTTGTTTTTGTTTTTGTTTTGTTTTGTTTTGTTTTTTGAGGCAGAGTTTCTCTGTAGCCCTGGCTGTTCTGGAACTAATTCTGTAGTCCAGGCTGACCTTGAACTCATAAAGATCCGCCTGCCTTTGCCTCCCAAGTACTGGGATTAAAGTCATGCACCACCACCACCTAGTGTCTGTGTGTTCGTACACCATTTTCTGCATGTATACATCTATATGCACACGTGCCTATATATGTGATGTGTGTGTTTCTGTGTGAACAGCTGTGCATACATGTGTCTATGTGTGCATTTATGAACACACAGGCTATATGGGCATGTGACTATATATGCATGTGTGCACACACATATATGCATACGTGGTTGCATGTGTGACTTTGGGATAATTAAAACTTTTAGGCAAGAAGGCAGAATCTGACATGGCTAAAACACATGTCACCAAAATGCGACTGGTAATCTTTTCATTTCCTGTCTTAACCAATTTCATTGAGTTTCCAGTCATGACTTCATGTCAGCTTGGGTACCACAGCCTTCACACACCTGGTAAATTTCTGTAAAGCAGCAAATTTTCTTCCCTCACAGTTCTGAAGGACAGAAGCCCAAAGTTGGCTCTCTGGGCTAGTGTTCAGGTGTCTACAGAGCCAGGTTCTCCACAGCTTTGGGCAGAGTGGTCCCTGCCTGGCACTACACTCTCTAACTTCCTTAGCTCTGGCTGCTTTCTCCATCCTCACAGGTGTGGTATCTTACTTTGGGGGCCATTCTGCTTTCTCCTCCACAGAATGCCCCTCTGCCCCCTCTCACAAGGACATTTGTGGGTATGTGTGTATCCCATCTGGCTAATCTAAGATAACCTCCCCATATCCAGATGAACTGAGTCACGTCTCCCAAGCCCCTGTAAGGCAACATTGACCACTCTAAGGACTAGACAGCAGGCAGTTTGGGAGCCTCACAGAGACCTACCTCCCCTCCCCAGGGGGCAGATGCTCCAGCCAACACATCCCTCCCCAGATCGGAAAGCCTTTCTCAGTGTGTCCATGAAGCCACATAATATTGAAGATGGAATCTAAGAGAGGGGCTTCTCGGATGCAGCTGCTCCAAATTGAGGTGGTCAAGAGCTAGGACCTTGGAGCCCCGTCCTGGGAGCTCTAGTTCTCTTCAGTCTATGCTAATGTACAAGTGTTGGTTCCTACTGCATCTGCAACCTGGCCCTCAGGTTATCAGACATACATTGCACCGTTCTGGGCTGCCAGTCTCAAGCTTGTGCCGGGGGGATGAACTTGCACTAGTTACTCATGTGTGTGCACATGTCCCGCCACACCCCCAAACACACACAAGGAGGTAGCACTGTATTCAAGATTGGCCTGTATTCCCCCAGCAATGTGGCATAAGCTAGACACAAATTCGTTATGGAAAAAAAAAAAAAACCTATCACTACCTGTGCTGAATACATCCTAATTTGGATTCCAGACTAGTGAAAATAATGTCCAGGGAAAAACTGGTGAGATCAGAGTAAAGCCCAGAGTGCAGTTACTAGTCTCACACCAGTTCGAGTGTCTCAGCTTGACAAAGTATGCTGCAGTTACATAAGACTTCTGCGTGTGCTGTTTCTCTGTCTTTGTAACTTTTCTGTAAATCTAAAATTCTTCCAAAATTAAAAAAAATAAATTCCATCCAAAGTTTTAAAAATCCAGTATAAAATATCACTGTTGAAGTTAAATTGTTCACTTCAGCTTCCTTCTCTTTAGGACATAACTCACATACAATCAGCTATGCAACCTGGATGCGCACAGAACACAGAATTTGGCTGTGGATGGAATCGACCACCTAGCCAGCTACAGGTGAAGCAACAGTACTTCTGCACCCCAGAATCCTCCCTCTTCCTCCCTTCCAGATGACAGCTCCCCAATCCTGATTGATGTACTACAGATTCATTTCTTTGACTGCCCCCTTCATGAGAATACTAAAGTCTGCACTCTTGTCCAGTATGTGCTATGTTGGCCCCCTTCCCTCAGCACACTGTGAGAAAGTTACCCACGCCACAGTAGCTCATTCCGTGGAGTTTTTTAAAATACCAGCTGTCCATTCAACTTTCGTTGATGCATGGATTACCTTCTAGGTTGACCGTCTCTCTGTGGCTGCTGTAGACAACCTTCCAGTCTTTGGTGGATGCAGGCCCCCTTTTCTCTGATACTCATTTCAGAGGTGGGATTTCTGCATCACAGATTGGCATGTGTAGCTTTAGGGACTCCTACCAAACAATTTCCCAAGTGGTTGTAGCAGTAACTCGTCTCCCGAAAGTGTGTGGGTGCTGCAATGGCTCTAGATCCCTGCAATCCTTGCTGCTGCTGACTTTAAAATCTTGATCATTTTAATGGCTAAGTTTTCATCTGTATTGCCCCTGGGACTAAGGTTGTGATGAGCATCTTTCCATGTGTTTAGCAACCTTTAGAATATCCTCTTTGGGGGGAAACTTGGGTTAGTATGTAAAATGAAAAAGAATTTAAAAAACACTTTCTTTGGGAAAGGGCCTGTTTGGTGCATTTGCCTGTTTTTATTGGGCTGGTTGGTTTTCTTATTAGTTTCTGTATTATAGATGGAGATCCTTTGTCAAATACTACTCCCTGGGGTCCCAGTGTCAGGGATTCTGCATCAGTTGGACCTGGTGAGACCCTGGCACCAGGACTGCTGGGAAACTCCCCAGGGAGTTCTAATAGCCAAGTAGTGCCCAGAGAATGCCTCTCTGTAGGGAGACACCGTAACCACGCCTCCTAAGGGCTGGCCACAGATGTGCTTAACCACGCCTGTCAGGACATGGTCAGGGGATGCTCAGGATGACGCATGTGGCGTTCTTAAGGTGCAGGAGACACGTGGAAGCTCTCTCTGGCCTCTCTAGCTTGCTGCCTCTCGGCATGCTCTGGCTTTTGCTTGGCCGGTATTATTTGAATAAAGATGTCTTAACCTGCAAGGTCTCGTCACACCTCTCAGTCTCAAGAGATGTGTGGCTCCCCTAATCCTCCCAGTTTGGTGAGAACAGCCCTGGGTAAAATCTATTGACTGGTGAAATAATTATTAGGACCCTTGCACTCTCAGGGTATCTGGATCTGGACAGTATACTGTGGGCTCATCTATCTTCATCATCTCTAGAGTCACTGCCTGGTTGCATTCCAAGCCCTCCATCTCCTGGGCTCAGCCCAGGATCTATCCTAGCTACTCTGAATGCTTTTCAAATACCAGATGGGAATCCCCCAACAGAGGAACTAGTTTTCCTTCTAGCTGGCTGGATTAAGCCCTCACAAGGAAAGGCGGCATTCCAATAGGGCCTCTACTGCCCTCCTCCAAAGAAACACACACCTCTGACTTCCACACTTGCTGAAAAAAAGATGTCACTCAGTTATACCTGTAACTGGTGTCACTGGTGTGATGACAGAGGGTCTGGTAAGGTCAAGGGCAAGCCTTTCATAGGGCATGGGACTCTTAACACAAAGGGCACAGAGGCCTCTAACCGTCCCAGGACATCAAACAGATGCTAGTCTCCTCCATTGGTCATCCCTTGAGACAGCCTGGGAGAGCCTCCGCTCGGCTGTTTCTTTGTGATAAGAACTACATTAACTTAGAATCCCTGATCGCTTCCTTCTCTGCCACACAGCTCTCCCATCACCACAGGCTTGAGTATCCCAAAGCAGTGCTACACTTCTGATACTCATCCTACAGCCCCACCCCACCCTGCCCACCCCTGATTCTTTCGAATTCATTGATCCATCAGAATCACCTTCCTACCTTCAGCTATATCATGTGCATGGAAAAAACATGTTTAGGATGCCTGCAGTGGGTGGAGTAAGGGTCCCAAGACACAAGTAACACCCAGTCTCTGTGAATGTGACAGGATGTAGGAACAGTATCTTTGTTGATGTGATGAAGGGTGTTGGGAATGAGCCCGTTCTGGGTCATCTGGTGGATTCTAAACCAACCAGCATTTGTCTTGAGTGACAGAGGGGAGAACATAGGAGGAAGAAGCCATGTGAGGTAGTGATGCAGCCATAAGCTGTGAAAACTGGCAGGAATTGTTGGAAGCCACCAGAATGTGGAGGAAGCAAGAGGGGAACCTTGCTCTGGAGGCACTCAGAGAACATGGTTTGCAAGCTTGAGAGTTGCAAAACTTTTGTTTCCTACCTTTGAGCGGGAGGTAATTCGTTAGAACATTCCTTGAAGATTAATACAATGACTTAGCAGGTTTAAAAAACAAAAAGTGTTCTGATGCTGTCTACTCTAATGCATTGGCAAGGACACACATACACACCACACATACACACACACACACACACACAGAAAGAGAGAGAGAGAGAGAGGAGAGAGAGAGAGAGAGAGACACTGAGGTCTTTGCTAATTCATATCCTTAGCTAAACCTTTCCCCGGAGACTCTGAACATTTTTCCAGGAAGAAATAGGCTGGGTTGGATAATTTATTAAGACTCATCCAAAAACTAGGAGTGGGGAAACAGGCAGGCTAAGCTAGCATAGTGACAGCCGACACACAGAATGACAGCCTCTGTGTACATTGTCCCCACCTTCCCTGTCAAGAGGCTGGAGAAAGCCAGGTTCCTTTGATTTCTGGGCTGGAAATAGAACCCACTTCCGAGGCTGGAACAATGAAGTCTATGAAGAGTCAGGAGATCAAGCTCTCCGCATACTCCCAAAGAAGGGGCCCAAGAGCTGGACTCAAAAGTCTAGAGGATGCTGGGAGGAAAGAAAGATGGGTGTTTTGAAGCACTTTGGGCCGCATGCAGCAAGATCACTGGGCACCAAACACTGCTGGGAAAGCTTGCTTCAGGGTGAACATGAGGAAAACAATCTCTTCATAGTTATTTGACTCATACAGACACCCAAATTGCGGGGAGCCATCAGGGCCGTGCCCCATGTTCTGCAAGTCCGAGTAGGCACAGATGCCTGTTGCCAACAGGGTGGGAGCTGACCAGGTGGTGGGGTCCAGTGGCTTCTGATTGAGGTACACACCCAGGTTGGTCCTCTTCCGGGAGTCTGTAGGGTGGGTATAGAGCAGCCACACATCTAAGGCATCTGCCTTTGAGGTGGGGTTGGGGAAAGCAATCACACTTCCATGGCAGCCTTTGGGAGGCTCTACAAGTTTACTCACTACCTGGTTGTCCTGGAAATCCAGGCCACTGTTAGGACTTTGTGCCTGGACCCTGGCTCCCAGGCAGCTCCTAGCATTGAGATAGACCACCCTCTCAGCGCCAGTGCCAACCTCAGCCACCTGGCACTCCAGCGAGTTCTGGGACACAAAGTGGCCCAGCTCCCATGTGCTCCCATGGTCATGGCTGAGGAAGCAGAAGGCAGAGGGGGCAGGTGTATGGATAGGGGGTTGTTTCCGATAGGCATAAGCAGGGACCAGCAGGCTCCCAGCTGTGTTTCGCAGCTGCAGACAGTGCCCAGGACCCACGCCAAATGTGGCCCAATCCTGATCGGTGCTGCCAATGGTGGTATCTGTAAGGTCCTGGACAGCGCTCCAGGTCTTCCCATGGTCAGTACTGGTGATGTGGCATAGCCGTGTGACATTAACCCCAGTCTGGAGCTGGTGGTGTTCTGATATTTGCCCACGGACAGCGATGAAGAAAAGGAAAAGGGTCCTTGTCTGCTTGTCATACAAAGGACATGGGCTCATGGAGCGGTGGCCCTCCAGGTAGGCTTGGGTCACCACCTCCTCAGCTTGCCACTGAATGTGAAGAGAGTTAAGAAAGAGAAACACAAACTTGAAATTGCTTGTGACAAGGACAGGCAGGCGCTACTCTGGGGGTCCATGGGGCAGGGGTATCTTAGAGATGGAGCCAAAGGCGGTGAAGAGACTACTTCACCTACCAGATGCCACCCCTCTCCCCCAGCGCAGGAGGAGTCAGGCTCCTCTCCCTGTCTCCATCCCTCCCATCCTCCCCCCTCCCCCACCGCACTCCCTGAAGGCTCTGTTACTTTGCTTCCAACCAACAGATATTTATGGAGCACCCATGACATGCCTGACCCCCAAGGCACAAAAGGAGCTCAGGAGCCAGCAGATGGTTCAGCAAGTCAAGGTGCATGCCACCAACCTGGTGATGAGTTCAATCTCCAGCACCAGCATGGTGGGATGAGAGAACAGACTTACTCAAGTGCATGCACATACAAACAAGCAAGGAAAGGTGTTTTTGTTGTTGTTGTTGTTTTTTTTTTTTGGTTTTTGGAGACAGGGTTTCTCTGTGCCTTTGGAGGCTGTCCTGGAACTAGCTCTTGTAGACCAGGCTGGTCTCGAACTCACAGAGATCCACCTGCCTCTGCCTCCCGAGTGTTGGGATTAAAGGCGTGTGCCACCACCGCCCAGCAAGGTGATTTTTGTTGTTGTTGTTGTTTTTTGTTTTTTTTTTGAGACAGGGTTTCTGTGTATTGTTTTGGAGCCTGCCCTGGAACTCACTCTGTAGACCAGGCTGGCCTCAAACTCACAGAGATCTGCCTATCTCTGCCTCCCAAGTGAAAGTGATTTAAAAACAACAACAACAAAAAGGTTAAGTAACTATGGTAGGAACCTTTCCTAACCCCATCCTTCCTCTTCCTGGCTGGTCCAGCATTCTTAAAAGGCAAAGGCTTAGTATGGACCGCAGAAGGCTGGTTGATGCCAGACAGAAAATGAGGGTCACCTTGCATCACCTGCATTACTTATGAGACTCTGCCAATGAACTCAGAGATACTGGAGATTCACACTGAGCTTCCCTGCGGTCAGTGCTACAGCATGTACGCCACAGCCATCGTCTACGCCTAGCCTACATCAGTTGCCCCAGTACAGGACTCCAAGTACAGACAATACCAAAAGATCGATGGCCACTGTGTTGCCTGATCCCTGGATGCTGAAGAAGTAGTGACATTAGCTTGAGTTCATATTTTGAGAATGAGAGGCCTAAATAGGTAGCCAAGTTGCCTAAGGCCATCCCTTGGATAAGGAATGAACCCAGGCCTTGAACTCGGCTCCATCCTCTTCGAGCATCATGACTGTGTATAACAATTAGGTGCCAGTCAAAAGAAACTTGGATGCCATACTCTGAATAGCTACCATGTATTTGTGATGAGAGTAATGTTACGAGGGCCACACAATCATCCAACCCCCAGTCCCTAGATTAATTTCCCTCGGAGGGTATCGCTCCTGTTAAATGACAATGAACTGCCCCACCCTTGGGTGTTCAAGGATTCTGGGAAGCTCAGTCAGGCACGTGATGAAGCATGTGGTCAGCCAACAAAACTTGCTCCTGGTGAACCCAAGCAAGGTCTGGGTTGGGTACTGGAACCCCTCAGCCATCCTGAATGTCCCTGAATGGGTTTCTGTGAGATCTATGCCTGGTTCCACAGCACCCAGGTCCCCCATGAGTATGTGTTGAGACATCCCAGCTGGAGCCACTGCAGCAGGGCCCTGCCTTACCTGGACCTGATGGGTGTCTGCATTGTAGCTTCCTCTTCGTAGGACAAACAAATCTGCATGCTCATCCGTCTTGGTCAGACGCTTTTCCGCAAAGGCCAGCAGGGTCTTCTGCTTTGACAGGTAGATCAGAGCAGGGATTCTGTAAGCATAGTCTCCTGTCTGGAATAGCGTCTCCTTCTGCAGGACAGGGCAAGTCGCCATGGGCCTGAGATCTGGGCAGGAAGAGAAGCCACAGTGTCTGCTGTCATACCTGTGCCAGGAGCTAGAGTCCTTCAGTCAGGTGGCACTCATATGATGGGCAAGCCAGGCCCTGTCTGGTGGCCTGTCCTCTAAAAGGTTCTGTCTCCTTTCTCATATCCCCAAACCCCATTTGCCAGTTGTGCAGTAGCACTGGCAGGACTCCATCTAGGAATAGAAAAGTATGTTTTTGTATTAGGTTCCTGACATAAGTCAACTGTTCCCCTCACAACAGATTTGTGACAACCTTCTGCTGCTAAGCCTGCGTAGAGTAGAGAGCTTGCTGAGTGGCACTCCGCAGCTGTCCGGATGCCAGGGAATGACACGGGAGCCTTTTATAACTCCAGAGCCCTAGAAAGCTGTTCCAGAGATGAAGAAAACGCCTCCATTCCCCAGGCTCAGTTCCCACAGCTGCCTGAGGCTGATAAACTAGCTGCCCCCACTGTGTGGGTGCCACCCTGAGGCAGGCAGGGGGTGGCTGTGGATCTGGAGAGATAGGCTGTACTTACTAATGGGGCTGGGTGGAGCCCTAGAGATATAAGAAAATGAACAACAATAATGATAAGTATTTGCTGCAAAGAACTGGGAAGTCAGGGGATAACTTGGTGACTATGGTTGACAAAGAGTTGACAGCTAACTTCTTAGCTGGAATAACCTCGTTGGCTGAGAGAACCAGTTGCCAAGGTAATCTTCAATAAAGGATGTATTTGATGACCCACCTATCCAGAACATAAGTACAGATGTTAAGACATAAAGCCAGGCATTGGTGGTGCACATGTTTGACCCCAGCACTTGGGAGACAGAAGCAGGCAGTGAGTTCAAGGCCAGTCTGGTCTACAGAATGAGTTCCAGGACTGGGCTACACAGAGAAACCTGTTTCAAACAACAACGAAGAATAGGACATAAAACATAAGAATTTAAGAACCCCTTGTTCCTGTGTGGAGTAAAACCCTCAGGGTCTGTTGAGCCAACTCTTAAGACTGAATCTTGGCACCCCTCACTCTGTCATACTAGCTGCCCACCCTCCCTAAGAGTAACTGTTGCAGGATATTTGAGCAGACTGTGTAAAGATATGTCGATTTTTTTTTTTTACCTTGCCTGCCTAAGGCACCTTATTGGTTTAATAAAGAGCTGAATGGCTAATAGCTAGGCAGGAGAGGTTAGAAGGAACTTCCAGGCAGAGAGAGGAACTTAAGATGAATCTAGGTGTGGAGAGGAACACCAGAGAGACACAGAAGGAGTCAGACACACAGAATGGAGGAGAGGTAAAAAGCCACATGACAGAAAGTAGAAACAGGCTAATTTAAGTTACAAGAGATAGCTTGGAATAAGCCTAAGCTATATGCCAAGCTTTCATAATTAATAATAAGTCTCTGTGTCATCCCAACAAGAAAGCTTGCTACAGGTAATGGCTTCAGAAACCTCAATCAGATTGCTGCCGAGGGAGCCACCAGCTTCCTATGAAGTCTTACTTACCCATGCCTTAACCTCTGGGGAGAGGACATGAAAGAGTGGGGGCAGCTAGCAGATGGCAGGGGCTGTTCTACAGTTTTCCACCATGTAATTTATTATTCATTTAAAACTTGTTTTTTTACCATTTTTTGAGCGGTGTGGTCTTACCAGCCGATTGTTCCAGTCACAATGAATGTTATTGGGAAGAGGCAGGAGACTGACATTTGAAAGGGCAGATGCCAGCTAAGGGAAAAAAATGTTCAGTGGGTGGAGACAAATCTTTGCTTTAAAATGCAGACTTGAGCTGGGTGGTGGCAGCGTACGCCTTTAATACTAGCACTTGGGAAGCAGAGGCAGGTGGATCTCTGTGAGTTCAAGGCCAGCTTGGTCCACAGAGAAACCCTGTCTTGAAAAAGAAAAAAAATGGAGACTTGAAGCTAGGTTTGGTGGCTCATGCCTACATGTGAAGCTGAGGCAGGAAGAACGTTTGCAATTCAAGTCCAGCCTGGGCTAGACTGAGGTGGTTTAAAACAACAACAACAACAACAACAACAACAACAACACAAAAACAGGCAACAAAAACTAAAGAAAACAAAATCTAGGCCTGCACACTGTAATCTTGCTCTATGGATATAACTGTCATAAAACTTAATAAGAAAGAGTTGAATAGAATTAGAAGAAAAAGATGAGAAGAAAGATGATGTCTCAGTGTCTTAGAAACTCAATCAAGGGCTAAAAAGTTGGTCCCTAATGAAAATAAAACCATATAATCAGATTTAAAGGTTGAGTTTAAGATGTCCCCAGGGCCAAAACGTTCTCCATGTCAGTGAGCTGGCCTTCGGTATACAATGTGGGAGGCTAACACCTACAAAGACACCTGAGATGGAATAGGGAGTCAGAGGAGTCTCCAGGAGGAATCAGAACAGAGGCATGAGCAAGTCCTGGGGTTCAAAGTAGAGGGGCCGGGGAATGTGACTTCAGAGCAACAGCAGGGGTTGAGACCAATATGTTGAGCCAATGGGCTCAGCACAGGGATGTGACAAGAGACATGGTTTAGAGAGAGGAGAAGATGGGGTCTGGGGGAGGGTTGGAGGCCTCTGGTGACTACATCTCTTAGATGGTCCATCCTACAGAGAAGGACCACTTTCTGTTTTCAAAAGGGATGCATAATATCACACAGTACACAATTCAGCTTCTCAAAGAGCCACGCAGCGAATTCAAAGGACCATCCTAAAGCTGAGCAGACACTGCCACTATCTAGTTCCAGATGTGTTCATTGCCCACCAACAAATCCTGTAACTGTGAGCAGTCATTCTGCTCTACCCCTAGTGGCTGTGCAGGGATAGCCCAGTATAGTTTGGGTGGTGTTCCATGATAATTAATGAGGTTGGCCTTGTTTGCACAGGCCACAAAAGTTAGATTTTAGCCTAGGGGCAAGCTCTGCTCTACCCCTAGTGGCTGTGCAGGGATAGCCCAGTGTAGTTTGGGTGGTGTTCCATGATAATTAATGAGGCTGGCCTTGTTTGCACAGGCCACAAAAGTTAGATTTTAGCCTAGGGGCAAGCAGAAGGTTTCTGGGATTTTTTTTTTTTTTAAGGCAGGCGATTGATCCAATCTAATCAATTTGAGGGGAGTTCCTTTCTCAGTTTCAGGGAGAGAAAGTAGATGAGCCTGCTACAGTTCTCCTTGTGAGACTAGATAGAAATCTGGATGAAACAGACAATAGTGACCAACATGGTGGTGTCTCCTAGAAACTGAGGCAGCAGAAGCAATATGATCAAGAGTATGTACTGGTCAATTTTTGTCAACTTGACACAAGCTAGAGTAGCTTGGCAAGAGGGAACCTCAACTGAGCAATTGCCTCCATTATATTGGCCTGTGGGTGTGTCTGTGGGGGCATTTTCATGATTAGTGTTTGATGTGGGGGTGCCTGGCTCTCTATAGGTACCAATCCTGGGCAGGTGGCCTGGATTGTCTAAGGAATCAGGTTGAACAAGACATGAAAGTAAGCCAGGAAGTATTCCTCCATGGCCTCAGTTCCTGCCTTGAGTTTCTGCTTTAGCTTTTCTCTGTGATAGGGCAGGATGGAGATGTGTAAGCTGAATAAACCCCTTTCTTCCTGGGCTTCCTTTAATCATAGTGTTTACCATAAAAACAGAAAGCAAACCAGGTCAGGCCTAGTCAGTGTTTATATGGGAAGCTGGGCCCTGGTTTCCACAGTGCTCATGACTGTTTTCTGGATACCTCCTCCTTTAGTATTTAGCCTCCTTATGGATGGCAACAAATGTAGCCATTCCCATCACAGGGCCATGTGGTATTCTGGGAACCTGGGACCGACCAGAAATAAAATAGGCCAAGAAGCTTGTTCTGATGAAGTGGGTATTTCATCAGGGATGAAAAGGTCAATATTATTGCCAATATCTACATGGCTCTTGCCAGGGCTAGGGTCTGGATGAGAATTGACAGCAATTACTTCATCTAACCCTCAGATTTGCTGCCCTCTGTAAGCCCACGAAGCTCAGAGTGATGCCTTTTATAGAGAGATGCTGGAGTGGAGGCAACAGAGCAGTAGATACCTGCTAAGGCAGGTCCATCTGGAGGATGCTCATCTCTCTAAACCGTCAATCCCTGTTATTAGAGACAAGACTGAGCCCAGGAGTGGAGAAGATCAAGGAAAAAGGACTTCAAGGTCAGAACAAGGTATCTTACCTACCCCCTTCAGCCCAAACCCCACACCCACTAACAACTCCCCAATCCCTACCCAGGCGTTCCTTACAAAAGGCTTTGTATTCTCTAAGTACACAATAGTTGTAGAAATCCTTGTGAATTATATTTAGAAATTTTGTTATTCACAAATATTTATTCATCATTTAATTCTCCCAATACCCCCCCCCCCCCCACACACACACACATGCTAGACATTAGTACCATGGTCACCAAGGCTTAAGTGGCCAAGCTGAGTGCAAAGGCACTTCTGAACTCTGTCCTCTGCACTTGAGCAGGTGTCTAGGGCCCTCTGGGGCACCTGGGCACAGCTCTACCGACAAACAGTGGCAGTCGCTTCCAAATGGTGCAATGGAACAAAACTAAATTCAAGAGTCAAAAACTCAGATTCTGAGACTGGATGGAGACCACTCAGTCAATAAAATGTTCACCTCGAAAGCAGGAGGGCCTGAGTTCTATCCCAAGAACCGGCGTCAAAAGCCAGGCCTGACACAGTATGCTTACAATCCCTGGGAAGGCAGGGACAAGGAGATCCCTGGGACACCCTGGTCAGCCAGCCTAGCTAAAGTATGAGTTCCCAGTAAAGTGAGAGACTCTGAGGAATGACACCCAAGGTTGACTGCTGGCTTCCACACTCACCCACCCAGACTCAGGTTCTGGACCTTTATCGCCTCCTAAAATATTGTTCACTGTTGGAAAAGTTTCTTTGATCACAGTGAGTGTAAGGCTAAATGAGGCTCCCACAGAGGCCCCCTCCATCAGCAGTAGATGAGCCTGGATGGAACCGGAAGAGGCTGGA